GGGTAGAAGCAAGCACTAGGCGAGGTGCTGCAAGCTCGTTTAATACAGGAGGGGGCAGGCCTTATATCTCCCTTTTCTCCACCCCCAAGTCCCTTTAGTCAGCGTATTGTTTTCTGGCTGGTCTGCGCCACGCATTCTGTCAGCAGTCACTGGGCTCGCGAGCAGGGTACGGAGGCGTGGGCTCCTTTTGGTGGGCTATTTGCAGACCAAGAAGTGAAGTAAATTCTCGCTGAATCCCAGGGCCCTGGGTCTGCGTCATCTTTGGAGGCCTCCTGCTACAAGCAGCCAAATAGGGTCGTCTGAGGGTGAAGCTGTAGGTGTCCCTGCAACTACTGATGCTCTCTGAAAGACTGTTGTACTTTCCCTCAGAGGTGGGGGCTTAGGGCTGGGGTTGGGTTCTAGGGGTACTAAAACTGGGTGGGGGTCAACACCTTGGGGTTCCAGTGAGGTGGGGATTTCCTTTCTGAGGATGATAGTGAAGAATGACCCCGGGCTTGGGTTGAGAGTTATCAATCCCCAGGTTTTTCCTACCTCCTAAGCGGTTTACAGAAGCGAGAAAGAGCAGTTATTCCTAAAGAGGGGCAGGGGGTCTCAGGAGTCCAGGGCAGGGGGTAGTTTCTCTTTCCCCACATCAGTAAACACTACCTTGACAGGGTTGCAGCCTGTTTTTGTGGGACATGTTCTAACTCTCCACCCGCAATAAATGGCATCAGGGGTGTTGTTACGGACAACCTTGATAAAATCATCTTTAATGGGGGCTGTCCAGTAGATGTCCCCTGTACTCACACAGTCCCAGGATTTACAAAAATAATCACTGGCTCCCCCACATCGTTTTACCAAGTCTCTACCTCTGCTCCCAGGACAGACATAGTAATAAGCATGGCGTAGCCCCCCATGGCTCTGTCCAGGGAGTAAGCATTGGAGATCGAAGCCTAGCTCAGCAACATTCTTCTTTTAGGGCTGCACACAAGCCCCCTTGTTCCATAAGAAGGAGGTCAAGACCTCTTCTATTCTGTAAGGCGACCTCTGCTAGGGAGTTTAGGGATTGTTCTAATTTAGTTACAGACTGTTCCAGACTCCTGAGGTCTGCATCAATCGTTACCTGGAGGGCTCTGTAGTTTTGGTCCTGTAAAATTAAGGCCGAGGTGCCCACTCTGGTTACTCCAGCTATACCTAGACCAGTTGTGGACTTCCCATGTTGTTGGATCCAGCATAGAGGTCGACAGAGGGCGATGGTTGTCTGGGTCTGGGTAGGAACTTGCTAGTTGGACATGAGTGTGATGGATCCAGGTGGCAGCTCCATCTACCTTCACCGCCGTTGGGATTGTCAGGAGCACTACGTACGGACCTTTCCAGCGAGGTTCCAAGGTCTCTCGGCGGTGTCTGCGGACATAGACCCAATTGCCAGGCTGGTAGTTGTGTGGGGTAGGAGGGGGAGCAATCTCATAGATAGCTTTCAGCCGGGGCCCTACATCCCTATGCACCCGAGCCACCGCTTCTAGAGAATCAAGCAACTGTAGGTTATCAAATTCAGCAATTAGTTCAGTTCTTAGACTGGGGAGGATGGGGGGGTCTTCCAAACATGATTTCATAGGGGGTCAGTCCTAGCAGATAGGGTGAGTTCCTCACCCTATACAGGGCGAAGAGAAGGAGAGCCACCCAGTCCCCGCCAGTCTCCATTGTTAATTTGTGTCTCTTTTAGAGCCCTATTCATCCTCTCTACCTGTCCTGAGCTCTGGGGCCTGTACGCACAATGTAATTTCCATCTTGCCCCCAATATCCTAGCTAATTCCTGGGTTACCTGTGATGGAAAGGCTGGCCTGTTGTCGGAGTTCAGAAGGGCTGGGATGCCATACCCGGGTAAGATGTCCTCCAGCAGTTTCTTGGCTACCACCTGAGTCGTCTCATGCTTGGTGGGACATGTCTACCAAAACTAGTAGATATTTGTAACCATACGGGTTGAGAGTTCTCAATCCCCAGGTTTTTCCTACCTCCCAGGTGGTGTCTCGTTTTCCTGCATCAGTAAACACCACCTTAACAGGGTTGCAGCCTGTTTTAGCTAGAGCCCCTCATTCGAGCCCCTTGTTCCTTAGGATGGTTTTCAGCATTGGACAGCTTGCAACTAAGGCATGCAGGGGCGACTGCATTAACCAGTGGGCGGAGATTCAAGGCTTTTAAGTGAGCATTTCTTAAGAGTTCAGCTGTCTTCCTTGTACCCAGGTGAGTGGTTCGGTGGATGTGTGTGAGGAGGTCTTTGGCCAAGTCATTTGGCAGAATAATTCTACAGTCTCCTTTATGCCACCAAGCCTTGATCTTTTGGGTCATGGGAAGTTTGTGTATCAATTTCATATCCTCTTGGGAATAGTGAGGCTGATCAGGTAGGACAGGGGGGCCAGGATCTGGCAGTTGGATTGGCAAAATCTGGAAGGCCTCCAAAGCTACTTCTCTGGCAACCCGGTCTGCTCTCTGATTTCCCTGAGCTATAGGCGTGTTAACTTTCTGGTTCCTGGGGCAGTGGATAATAGCCAACTTCTTAGGCAGCCATAGAGCCACCACCAAGTCAAGAATTTCTTGTTTATTTTTAATAGCTTTTCCCTCCGCTGTGAGCAGTTCCCCTTTCCTGGTAGATGGCTCCATGCACATGTGCCGTAGCAAAGGCATATCAGCTGTCTGTGTACACATTCAATCGTCTGTTCTTTCCAAGCCTAAGGGCCTCAGTCAGAGCTATCAGTTTGTCCCTCTGAGCCAAGGTTCCTGCAGGCAAAGCCGCTGCCCAAACAGTCTCAGTCTCAGTTACCACTGCCGCCCCTGCATACCTCTGCCCATCCTTCATGAACCAAGTAGCTTCTGCATTGGAGAGTGGCTGATCGGTCAGGTCGTTTCTGAGCCCATGTACCTGGCTCAGGATCCCTGCACAATCGTGCAGGGGCGTGTCCAAGTCAGGGTCAGGCAGCAGGGTGTCTGGGTTAAGGGCAGTGCTTGGGAGGAACCGAATTCTTGGAGGGTTAAGAAGTAAGCTCTGATAATGGGTTATTCAGGGGCATTGCTCAACCAGCGGTCTGGTGGCTGCTTAAGAGCTCCCTCAATAGCATGAGGAGTGGTGATGTGCAGTCCTTGCCCTAATGTCAATTTATCTGCATCCCTGACTAGAAGGGCAGTAGCAGCTATAATCTGCAGACATGGTGGTCATCCTGCGGCTACTGGATCAAGTTTCTTAGACAAGTATGCCACTGGTCTATTCCAGGGTCCTAACGTTTGAGTCAGGACTCCTTTGGCTATTCCTTTCTTTACATCTATATAGAGGTGGAAAGGCTTGGTGACATTGGGGAGCCCCAAAGCCGGGGCCATCAGGAGGGCTTGCTTAATTTCATTAAAGGCCCTTTCTCTTTCCCCCGTCCAAACGAAAGTCTCATTCTCTTTTGTAGCCTCATAGAGAGGCTTAGCCAATTCAGCAAACCCTGGGATCTAGAGGTGGCAAAACCCTGCTGATCCCCAAAACTCTCTCACTGCTCTCTAGGAGTTGGGGACTGGAATCTTCAGCACCGTTTCTTTCCTGGCATCTGTGAGCCATCTTTGTCCTTCTTTTAGAATGTACCCTACATAAATCACTTCTTGACTTAGTGGATGCCCGATAGCCTAGCCTATCTAGAGTCACCAACAAATCCTTAGTCCCTTGCTGACATAGTAGAGTGTCATCGGCAGCTATCAGGATGTCATCTACATACTGCAATAGGGTGAGTTGGGGGTGTTCCAGCCTGTACTCACCCAGATCTTCATGAAGTGCCTCATCAAAGAGAGTGGGCGAGTTCTTGAATCCCTGAGGCAGGCGAGTCCAGGTCAGTTGTCCATTGAAACTGACCTCTGGATCTTGCCATTCGAAGGCAAAGAATGGCTGACTGTCCTTGGCTAGGGGCAGGCTAAAGAAGGTGCCTTTTAAATCTAGTACAGTATACCAGCTCCTGGAGGGTGGCAAGGAGCTCAGGAGGGCATAGGGATTAGGCACTGTGGGATAGATATCCATGACCCGCTTATTTACTTCTCTCAGATCCTGTACTGGCCGGTAATTGTTTGAGTTTGGCTTCTTTACTGGGAGGAGAGGTGTATTCCATGCAGATCTGCAGGGTAATAGGATGCCCTGGTCTCTTCGCCTCCGGATGTGTGGGGTAACCCCTGATCTGGCTTCATGGGACATGGGATACTGCTTCACCTGAGCTGGAAAGGCTCCTGGTTTCAGCTCCACCCAGATGGGTGGCCGGTGGGCTGCCAGCCCCATCCCTCTGGTCTCGGCCCAGGCCAGAGGAAATTCCTGCAGCCAAACAGAAATCTCCTCCATTGGCTGGGGGTCCAGTTTTTGGTGTAGTCGATACTCGTCTTCCAGTTGCAAGGTCAGTACCTGAATGGGGTGGCCTCCTTTATCTATTAAATGAACCCCATTAGGTGAAAAATGGATGTGGGCTCCAATTTTGGTAAGCAAGTCTCTACCTAAGAGTGGGTAGGGGCAATCTGGCATGACTAGGAAGGAGTGGGACACCCGGCCCGTGCCTAAGTCCACTTTCCTTTGGGTGGTCCGTGAATATTGGTTCATGCCAGTCGCTCCCTGTGCCCAAGACCTTTTGTTTGACAATTTCCCTAGGGTCTCTGTTAACACTGAATGTTGAGCACCTCTGTCTACATGGAAGCTCACAGGTGTCCCCTCCACTCTAAGACTTACCCTGGGCTTGGGGAGGGGATCTGAACCCCCTCCTCCGTATTTGCTCCATTCCCCAAGCTCCAGGACTCGTGTTCCTTCATGGATCCGCTCCTGCCTGGCCGCTCTTTCTGGACATTCCTTCTTCCAGTGGCCCATTTTCTTACAATAGGCGCATTGGTTTTTCAACAATTTTGGTTGCCCTTCTGGGCATCTCCTACCTTGTTCAGCAGATAGGCGTTGCAACTGGCATTCTCTTTCACCTGGGGACCTGGTCGATGTGGCCAGGAGGATCTTGGCAAAGTCGTGGGTCTGCTTGGCACTGGCAGCAGCAGCAACCTGGGCATGCTTGTCCTCAGGACTCTCTCGATGATTGTAGACTTTCTCAGCCACTGCCAGAAGCTCTGGCAGGGTTTTATCTTCCAGTCTGTCCAATTTCTGCAATTTGCACCTAATATTGGGTGCAGACTGGTTCACGAATGCCAGGATCACTGCATTCTTATTCTCGGGTGCTTCCGGGTCCATTGGAGTATAGGCACGGAATGCCTCAAGGATCCTTTCTAGGAATGCGGGTGATTCTGCCCTCCCTTGCTGAACACCACTAATCTTGGCCAGATTGGCGGGACGCCTTGTGGTCGCCCGGAGACCCCCCATTAGAATCTGGTGGTAGACCCGGAGCCTCTCCTTACCTTCAGCCACATTGAAGTCCCAATTCGGCCTAACCAGGGGAAAGGCTTCATCTATCAGGGCCTGATTGGTGGTGGGATTCCCATCCAACCCAGGGACCAGCTTGCGGGCTTCAACCAGGATCCAGTCTCTTTCTTCAGTGGTGAACAGGACCTGCAAAAGCTGCTGAATATCATCCCAAGTGGGCTGGTGGGTAAACAAAACAGATTCTAGCAAATCATTTAGACCTTGGGGTAGACCTTGGGGCTTTTCAGAGAATTTAGCTGTCTGTAGCTTCCAATTGTAGAGGTTGCTAGTTGCAAATGGCCAATACTGTATCTGTTGGTCCCCTGCTTCAGTGAGCAGCCCCACAGCCCAGAGGGGAAGGAGAGTAGAGTCTGCCACCAGCCATGGCTGCCCCCTTTGGACCCTCCTCCATGTCTGGGGAGGGTGTTCTCCCACCTCCTGGGGTGGGGCTGCCTCCACCTCCCCCGGGGTGTCCTGAGGCTCTGCTTGTGGGACAGGCTGATGGGGGGGTGGCTCAAACAGAAGTTCTTCCCCTATGCTTCCTTGCAAGACAGGGTAGAGAGGGGCAGAGGGTCTGATTTCATTTCTCTGCCGCTCATCCTCACGCAGGATGAGGATGGTCGGCTTTGGGCCAGTGGGGGGAGGAGGAAGGAATGGCTTTAACCATTTTGGAAGCTCCTCCACCATAACCTGCCAAGTTATGATGTAAGGGACCTGATCAGGGTGGCCTGGACGGCCATAAATTATATCCTTTACTCTGTAGATGGTGGGCACGTCGAACGTCCCCTCTTCAGGCCAACCAGCCCCAAAGGTCGACCATTCATTCCTGCAAAACACAAAGAGCTTCCCTTTCTTTACTCCTAACCCCAGGCTATCAGCCTGGGCTTTGAACTCTGAGAAGGGATCCTGGAAAAGGCTAAGAGGAGTTATGTGGTTCTGTCCCATCTCTTCTAACACAGTAAGACTCACAAACACAACAAAAAGCACAAACACACAGAAAAACAACACAAGGTTAGTTGGCGCCTTAAACTGAAAATAGGACAATGGCCTCTCGCCTCCTGGCGGGTGCGACTCGCTCCGTCCTTCCAAATTTACCAAGGGGATCCAATCCCCAGCAGGTGGGTCCGGGACATCTCCCGAGTCCCACGGCCTGGGGCCTTACAGCATGTCCGCCTAGACCTCCAACAGGCAATCTCAAACTGGGCCCAAAAATCAGACGTGTGCAAATACAAAAGACACAAAGACAAGAGACACTCACCGATTGGATCAGGCAGACTCAGCGCTCTGGGGTCCCGTGGGGGTGGTGGTGGTGGTCTTGGGGATCCCGGACGAGCCCCCAAATGTTGTGCCCAGAGAACGGACCCCCAAGAATAACCACGGAATCCAGAGGGCATGCAAGAACAAAGAGTCTTTATTCGGGCTTAAGCTCAGGCTCTCAGACCTCACCAACGCAATGGATCTGTGCCGAGAGCCCCGATTGCAGGAGGAGGAAGCCTTTTATAGGTTTTAGACCAAGGCAGAAGGGGAATAACAGAGTTACATCTTGATTGGTCCGAGGAGCCCACGCGCTCCAACACACTTTTGAATTGATTGGTTACAAGGGATGCAGTCCTGGGGGTTTCTCATTGGTGGGTGCTACCCTCAGAGCTATGGAATGTGCTGTTATCTGTGAGGCCAGAAGTCTCTGTTCTTACCTTATAAGGCTGCTGTATGCCTGGGTTTGCTTGATCTATAGCCTCCTGGGGTGGGGGTAGTAGATGGAGATTATGACATGCCTGGACAGGTCCAGGCTTGCCTGAAACAGCTAGTCAAAATGGGGTCAGTGCAATTTGTCCTCTCAGCCTAGCAATCAAGCGGTTTACAGAAGCGAGAAAGAGCAGTTATTCCTAAAGAGGGGCAGGGGTCTCAGGAGTCCAGGGCAGGGGGCCACAGAGGAGGGTTTCACAGTGAGTGGAGAGGCGGGGTAGAAAAAGCAATCAGTGAGAACAGAGAGGGCTCTTAAGGTATTGGGTGGTGGGAGGTTGGCTGGTCCATCACAGACACTGTTTGGTTTACATGCTGCCTCATAACTCTTGTAGGAGCCCTCAATTTTAAAGAGCTAGTTTTAGATAAGTTTCTCATCTTTCTTATATATCTTTGATTGCCTGCTTATAACTGGTGACTTTATATCTTTATCTCTGTAGGCCAAGACATTGAAGCATGGCTGTGAACAAGGAGAATGATTTTGTGATTCTTAGCAATGGCAGCATTACAACCAGTGCCACCAGCCCAAGTCCCCTCACCCCGAGTGATGGTGACCTTGCAGCCCAGCAGCTCACATCCAAAGAAACACCAAAAACAAAAGTGAGTCCAAATGGATGCCTGCAACTTAATGGCACAGTTAAGTCATCCTTTCTGCCTTTAGACAACCAAAGAACACCACAGATGTTACCCCAGTGCTGCCATCCTTGTCCATACCATCACCCTTTGACCAGCCATAACAGTCACCAAGAGTGCCATGCTGAGGTTGGCCCTGCAGCACCCTCTGCTTTGGCCTCATGTTGCATGCAGCCACACTCTGAATACTCTGCATCTCTGTGTCCAAACCATTCACCTATGTATCAGACTGCGTGCTGTCTGCAGCCCTCACCATCCTTCTGCCTGCATCATCCGTGGCCTGATCATTTTCAACATCAACCTGTGCAGCAGCACCTTGCCAACATCAGGTAAGTGTTCTGCATGTTTTCTTGACCTTCTGTATTAAACTAATTCCATATCAGTATGACAGCTTCTACTTATTCCTCCAAAAGGAAAGAAACGTGTCAAGGAAGAAAACCCACGTAAATTCTTACTTTGTGGATTGTCTGAGCCTACTAAAATGTAAATAAAATATCCATGTTACGTGTGTGTGTGTGTGTGTGTGTGTGTGTGTGTATGTCCATGCATGTGATTGGGTACTTGTGTACATGTGTATGTGGAGGCCCAAGGTTGATGTTGAATGTGTTTCTTGATCACTTTCCACAGGGTCTCACTGATCTGGTTAGTCTGGCTAGCCAGCATGTTCTGTGGATCCCTATTTCCGAATCTCATGCACCTGGATTATAGGTGGGCTGCCGTACTACCTGCCGCTTACATGGGGCTGGGGATCTACATGCCAGTCCTCACACTTGTGCAGCCAGTGCTTTATGCACTGAGTCATCTCTCCAGCCCCTCCATTGACTTTTTTGGTCAGTTCAGTTCTGGGTCCCCATGTCTGTTTCTGCAAACAGGTTAGGGATCCCCAGCTGGCCCTTAAGTTGAGTAAAAAATTTTATTGTCAGCAATTTCTGTTATTGTACATAAGAGATATATTTGTGGTGAAATTGCCCAAACAGAAGTGTTTTGTTTGCATTACTGGTGATGGTCAACCTTTATGAAAAAGTTTAAACTGCTTCTTTACCTTTGTTGGGTTGTGCACACTGTTGAGATTAGCCAGTTTTAGACTTTTAGAGACAAGAGGAAAGAGATGAGAGAAAAGGGCAGAAGAGCATGGGGTGAAGGAGAGGGCCATGTCCTCTGCCGGTTCTGAGTGCGTTTCTTCTTTGGGCTTGAGAACCTCATAGTTCTGGAGTGTACAGAATTCCCAAAACCAGGCCTTAGATGATTTGGCCTGACACACTGGACTGCATGGCCAGGCTTAGACTTTCCCATTTTGAATTAAACTCTGTAACTAGTTGATTTGAAATTACATAATCATAGGTATTTTATGGTTATATATAAATTATGGTTCTATATAATTATACATGGGATTGCAGTGTGGGGTGAGCTAGCTAGTTGTACATTTAGAAATTGAACTCCATATAAAATATCTTAAAATAGTAAAACTATGGGCAAAAACACAATTCTTTCAGTATGCCAGGTTGTGCCAAGATTTTCTGAATTTTTACTTAGCATTTGTTCATGACCTAATTCAAAAGGTATGAGAGCCTTGTGTGTTCTTGAAACAGAATGGCATTAAAAATCAAACTGAGAAATGGCTCAATGGCTAAGAGCACTGACTGCTCTTGCAGGGGACCTGGGTTCAATTTTCAGCACCCACATGGCGGCTGCGAATTGTCCTTAACTCCAGTTCCAGGGGAATCTGATGCCCTCGTCTGACCTCCACAGCATTGCACTACACAGGTGTGCTCACATGCAGGCAATACACTCATAGACATATTTCAGCAGAACCCACTTTAAAATCCAGATGGAAGGAATGGAAAGATGACTCAGCAGTTAAGATCACTGCCTGCTCTTACAGAAGACCCAGGTTCAGTTCCCAGCACCCAGATGGCAGCTAAGTACCATCCATAACTCCAGTTCCAGGGGATCTGATGCCCTCTTCAGGCCTTCACAGGCATGCACGACATGGGTGCACTTACATACATACAGGCATAACACTCATACACATGAAAATAATTTAAAAAAAAAAAATATATATATATATATAAAATCAAACTGATAGGTAAGGGTCTGCGCTTACCACTGCCCATGGTTGCCACTGGGGCCTCCACAGTCCTGGTGAACTTACTTCAAATTGTGTAGGTCCACTGGATTCCTAGATTTGCCCCATGGGATTTGTCTTTCGATGTTAATGCGGCAGAATGAAGAACAGCTCACTGCCTTCCAGAACAGGGGATGCTATTTAAAGGCAGAATAAGGCCCAGTGAAGTTCCCTGAAGCAAAGGCTGTGACCAAATACAAAATACTCAGATTTTGACAGGAGAATTAAAAACATCATTATTTAATTTGAAAGAAAAAAACCTGATAAAAATGCCATGTTTGTCCATTAAGAAAAGTTGTGAAAGAAAGTAGAATATGATAAAGCAAAATTTTCATATTTATAGGGATGGAGAGTTGGCTCAACAATTAAGAGCACTGGCTGCTCTTCCAGAGGACCCAGGTTCAGTTCCTAGCACCTGCATTGTGGCTAACAACCATCTGTAACTCCAGTTCCAGGGAACTCTGATGCCCCCTTCACAGGCATTGCATGACATGGGTGCACGTACATACATGCAAAATCACTCATACACATAAAATTTCTTTTATTTATATTTAGAGGGTTTTTTTGGAGGGGGGCTCTTTTTTGAAACAGGTTCTCCCTGTAGCTTCAACTGGCCTGGAACTCACTATGTAGACCAGGCTGACCTTGAACTCACAGAGATCCACCTGCCTCTGCCTCCCAAATGCTGGGACTACAGGCATGTGCCACCATGTCTGGCTTGTATTTAGAATTTTATCTCAGGAATTTGAGCCTGTTTTGATGCATGTGAAAGTACCTACAAAGGCATGCCACATGCCCAGTTGTACATGCTACATACTTTATTGTGCTTCAAGAATGCCTGTATTTTTTGCATTTATTTATTCACCTAATCAATAATGTTTGTTGGTTACATATGTGACAAAGTATAATTCTAAACAGGCTGAATTTTGTTTTTTGCCTTCATCAAGTCTTAAACTAGTAGAAAAAGAGACCAAAGAGACAGTAAGTCAATAAGCTACACTACTGTGATAAATACTGCCTCTTGGTACCATCTTAGGAACACACAGGGCTAAAGATGAAGGCACATATGTAGAGAGAGTGGAGGCTGGTGTCTTGCAGACAGTGGAGCAGCTTGTGTAAAAAGGTGCAGGGTAATGTGAACCCAGCTCCAGCACAAGTGAACTCACTAGACTAGTCCTAGAATTGCAGAGGGAGGAGAGACTACTGGAACCACCCTGAAGCTGTGAGCAAAACGGAATCCTGGCTGTGGTCAGGAGCTTTTGTAGGGGTTTGTGTGTGTGTGTTTGGCTTCTTTCTTCCTTTTCTGTTCTGTTCTGTTCTTTTCTTTTGATAGTGGTAAGATATGCACAGTATAAAATACTGTTTTAGCCACTTTTAAGTAAATGTTCAGTTAAGTGGCTTTAACTATACTCCCATTTCTGAACAACCATCATGACCATCCAAGTCTAGCACCTACTAATCTTCCCCATCTGAGGCAAAGGGACCTCAAGTTTGAGGCCTAAAGCTACTTTTTAAGTAGAAAAATAGTATTAGGGGGTAGAAAACAGGATTTTTGGAGAGGAGGGTCATGTGAGATGGTCTTGAGGTTTTCCTAATTTTACATCCCAAACACAGTCCAGCTGTGTAAAAGCCTGTGCATTTACGATCTGCTTCTTATCCTCCTGAGGGCTGGGAAATGCCTTTCAGGAATCAGCCATCTTCCACCTGAACTGTTGAAACAAGTTTTCAATTATCCACTTGGGATCTTCTTATAGCCATATTAAAGTGAAAGGGTCATGGTGTTACTGCACCGTTAATAAGGAATTCTGCCTCCAAAAATAGCATCCAAGAGTTCTAATATAAAACTGTACTTATCTTTTAATTTGGTGTTGCAAAGAAATGTTCTTGATTATAACAGAGGACCCCATGAGCAATACTTGGCAATGCCATAGGCTCATGGTGGCATTGAACCTGTGATGTCTTGGGGTATCTGCCAAATGCATTTTTATTTCTCTGAAAGTACTTTCACAGATAGATGGTTACCTTGAATGTTTTGTGTAGCACACTGTAGGAATTAGAGCTGGGCAGAGTTAGGAATGCTTGTCACAGGGGACCGTGGAACCCTGGCACTAGCCCTTAAAAGCTAACTGAGCGTCTTCACTGCTGCCACATCCATGCAGCTGCGTGATCTTTGACACTTGTGCTTCCTTTCTCCTTCAGTTCTTTGTTTTCCGGGACTTTTTATTTTTATTTTACATGTATGAGTGTATTGCCTGCATGTATGTAAGTGTACCCATGTTGTGCAATGCCAGCAGAGGTCAGAAGAAGGCATCAGATTCCCCTGGAACTGGAGTTATGGATGGTTATTAGCTGTCACAAGAGGACCAAACTTGGGTCCTCTTTAAGAGCAGTCAGTGTTCTTAACTGCTGAGCTATCGCTCCAGCCCTGTTTACCAGTTTTTTAGGGTTTTTTTTGTTGTTGTTGTTCCTTTTTAGGAGATGAGTTATTTTCTATGATGGGACTCCTTTTATTAAGTAAGAACTGAGAAGTCATATGTTATGTTAGATCAGATCACCACCGCCCAACTGAACTTGTGTTCTTTTGTATAAAGTGTATCATAACACCCAAAGGTAAGATAGACTCTGAACATCATTTCCCAGTGTCTTGCCCCTGGCCTGCAGTGCCCACCCTCTCCGCAGGCCTGGTGATGGCACTATTTGATTTAGCCAGGAAATTTGAAGCCAAGATTGCTCTGAACACTTTTCTGAACACTTTTTAGCACTAAATTGAGCATTGACACAGATCCCAAAATCTCCACTTTGCTGTATATCCAGAGTCAACCCAAATGCCTCTCTAAGATATTGGATGGAGAACGTCAAGGTTACCTATTCATAAATTTAGCAAGTACTTACTGAGTTCTTTCTGTTGGATGCTAGAGACAGATGAGAACTACAAGCTTGTTTTCCAGCTTCAAAGATGGGGAGGTGATGTGAATTGGGTAAGGCACTTAGATCTCAGCATGGGTTGTCCATAGGTAGGTTTTCATGTTTGAGCATTGCATATTTCTTGAATATATGCTGTATTATTTGGAGCACAGAAATTAAACACCAGCGTGATTGCAGGGGTACAAGGCAGATTAAGGTGTTACAACAGAAGCTGTACAAATTCCTGTCTCCTTCTCTTACTTTCTTTTCATTGAAAGATTACTAATCATGAAATAATCA